TACCGTAAGTACGACGACCCTACGGCTAGTTATTACGGAAAGTAGCGTATATAAGAAGCTATCGCCGCTAAGTACTAATAGAAAGGCATTATAAAGGACATCGAATAATATATCGTAGAATGCGATATATACTAGAGATTTAAGATTAAACGGCATAAATCGTATAGGACGCTAAAGCTACTAGAAGTCCCTACCGAACTATAGCGCTATATCTCTATAGACTTCGTTACCGGACTTCTACCCTTAAAGGGCTTTAACGGCGGCGTCTACGACTCGATTCTAGTTATCGTCGATAGGTTTTCGAAGATAGTTTAGTACTTCCCCGTTACCTCTAGAATCGATATAGTATAGCTTACTAAGCTTGTATTCCGAGAAATTATTTATAATAGCCGCGTTCCCGATAGCATTATCTTAGATCGAGGATTAGTCTTTATAAGCATATATAAGAGGGCATTTTGTTACTATTTAGCCTATAAGAAGCGCCTTAGTACTGCCTTCTATTATTTAATAGATAGACAAATAGAGCGTTTAAATTAGAACCTCGAAATATATCTCTATATCTACTATAATTAGAACTAAGACGATTAGGTACGGCTTCTTTATACTACCGCTCTCGCGTATAATAGTAAGATCTATACTAGATTAGAGAAGTCGCTAATCTAAATCGCCTTTAGAATCGTTCTAAATACTACTAACGGTATTCGTCGCGCTACCGACTAAGAATACCTACTATAGGAGGGGCGAGGAGATACCGAAACTACGTTAAAGTCTCGTAAACTCGCCGAGCAAGCCTATACGTAGATTCTAGCGAGGCAAGAAGAATTTAATAATACGAAGTCTAGCCTAGAATATATAGTAGCTCTATAAAAGAGATATTATAACAGATCGGTCTAAGACCGATAGTTTAATACTAGTAAACGAGTCCTCGTTTCGGGAAAGAATATCTATACTCGCCGCCCTTATAAGAAACTTAATAATAAGTACCTTAGGCCTTTTACTATTAAAAGTCGTATCGGTACCTACGCTTACGAGCTAGATCTCCCTCCTTCGATAAAGAGATTTTACCTAGTTTTCTACGTCTCCCTTCTAGAACTATACCGCCTATAGGAAAGCTACGAACTACTACCGGTAGAGCTACTCGTAGAGGACGGGAAGGCGATAAGCGCTTCGAAGTCGAGGAAATCCTATCCTACCGTCTTATAAAGGAGGGACTTTAGCTTAAAATCCGTTAGGTAGGCTACTCGCTAGAATACGACAATTAGGTAGTAGAAAGCGACCTAGCGGCCGATAATCTCCTTAGTTTATATAAGGCAAATTATAACTTAACGAAGGATTACCTATATAAGGCTCGAAAGACTAATAGGAAGGATCCGGCTCGGAAACGAGGAAGGCCCGCGAAAGCGAGGATATAGAAATACTAGATTTCGGAAGCGTATAATAAAGGGTCGTTCGCGAGAAATCTATACTTTTAGTATCTATCTATCGTATTATAGAACGTAGTAGTTAACTAAATCTACGCTTAAACCTTAGTAAATATTAATTAATTATTAATCTTAGGAGAAGCTAGTTTCTATAGGAAACTATAAGCCTTATATCGCAAATTGTAGAAAACCTTAAACCTAACTCTACGCTTAAAAGCAAATGCCCTCTACTATCTCGCCGCCGAAACCGCCTCGAACCTATACCGAAATTATACCGTATACTAGCCCTAGTAGATAAGACGCTACTCCTAAATCGTTATACCTCGTACTATAGTAAACTCGGCCTAAGAGTCTACTACTACGTTCCTCGGACGATGTCCGCTATCGCTGCGGCCTATATTCTACTCCTTCTCGGTATACTTATAGCTAACCTTCCGAGTCTAATAGTAGTACTTATACGCGTTAGCGGAAGCTAGGCCCTTATTAGGCGACTTAATCTCGTTAGGAGCGCGGCTACGGACCTCGCGATCGAGATCGAATAAGGCTACTATAAAATTATTCGAATAGCCTATAAGACGTTAGTAACGACGATTAGACGTAGCTAAATCTAGAATATAGAGTATATCGCGACGAAGGTAATACTAGATATTAGTAGTACGCTATATCTCCTTAGGAACCTAGTATAGATTAGCGGCGAAACGGCGACGGAATAGGCTCGAAACGTACTAGAATATACGACGGGTTGCTAGGACTATCCTTATAATATTAGTAAGATCCCCCTAAAGGCTTTATATAGACTTCTATTATAGCTAACTTCGACTTCTCGTCGATAACCCTATTCTTACTATTCGTATCTCTAGTCTTCTACTAACGGCGAATATACTTAGTATAGATAGGCTTATAGAGACTAGGTAGACCTTAAAGGGGCGGTAGATTAGCGAGCGCCTTCTTAAGAGACTAGTTAGAAGTTAAGACCTCGGCGATATAGTAAGCCTAGGGTAGTAAGGGCTACGACGGATCCGATATTATAAGGGTACCGTAACGGGTATAATAACCCGGCGTACTAACGACGGGACTCTTACTACTACGACTAGTAGGATAAGCGCCGAAGGGGTTAGACTAGCCTCTTTAAGATATATTATCGAAAGGGAGAGGTCGACGAACTATACTAATTAGCTACCGGAAGCGCCGCGAAACGCCGCCGAATACTTACTACTACTAGGACCGTTAACGTTTAAAGACTTAAAGTCTTAAAAACTAAAGACGTTATCGCCGGCTAGAATTAGTAAAGGTATCGGACGCTACGGAGTAGAATTGTCGCGGCTTACCAAACTAAACCTAATAATAACTAACTAAAAAAGGCTATAGAAGAGGTTAAAGGACTCTTCGAAGGCTTATAGTATATAGTAAAGTAGAGAAGAAGTTAGAAGAAGAATAGGCGCCTTATATACTAAAGGTACGGGGTCTAATTACTACTTTCTCGTTACCGCTTCGTAACCGCTCTACTACGTATACGGATACCTAACCGCGACCGGTAAAGCCGCTTAAGTAATAGCTAACCTAGGGATACGTAATTAAAGACCTAATATAAGGTAGGAGACGGCTCTACGTAAAGGGTAGTAACGGCTACGCGAACTAATATCGGACCCGGATCGGCAACTCTACTAGGTTATAGCGACGAAGGTCTTCCGTAGGTCTTACGAACACCTACCGTAACGAGCCCGGAACTGCCTACGCGGGTAATAATACATATCGCTTACCTAGTACCTCTATACGAGAGAGTTATACGAGTTATAAGTAGCCTTACGCCGGACGCTTGGCCTTACCTAGGCGGCGGAAGGGTAACGAGATAGCTACGTAAACACCCCGAGCCTAACCCTTCTAACTCTCTATTTATATACTAACCTCGTTTGCTATATAGCCTAGGATAGGCTACTAGGGGAGGGGGGGATACTATTAGGGAACCCTAATTCGTAACTAATTCGTAACCTTCTCGGTAGCGCCTCGTATCCGACTCGTAAGGCTTAGCGTACTATAAAAACCCTTTATTTACTCCCTTCCTTTCGAGTTCTTTAGGTATAATTATATAGAGAAATCTAACTACTACGTCGTATCTATATACCTGTTTATTTACTCCTCTTATACGCGTATCTTATAGAAGAAGAGGAGCGGTATTAAGAAGAGTCTATTCTTATCTACACTACAGACCCAAGCTCTTTTTCTCTATTAGGAGAAGTACCTCGTAGGTAAGAGCTCGGACGCCTTAAGGTAATTTTATAAAGATCTAGCTATACTAAAAACAATATCGTTACTATCGTAGATTATCGCCTTTTAGTAGACACTACGTAGACTCTAGACCCTAATATTGCCTAAAAAATTACTTTAGCTAGCGATCTAAGCTTATAGATTAGGTAAAGAGAAGAATAAGGTTATTAGCGGTAGTAGATTAGTTATTACTATAGCTAAAAAGCAGGAAAGCAACGAGAATAATAAATATAATTATAAAAATATCTTTAAAGGCCGGGAGATATCGAAGAGCTTATAGAGGAGTTAAGCGTCGCTTTAGGTTTTATTATCGTTCTCTAGTATTAACGTTCTCTATCGTTAACGGGCTCCTCTATCGTCGTCCTCTATTATCGTCGTACTCCTTTAACGTAGACTCTACTATCCTCATCCTTTATTATAATATCGCCGTCGTTACTACTCGTAAACTTAGCTTCGTTATCTATTATTATTAAGTTAAAGAATGCTCTATAGCTCGTAAGCTAAGCAATCTTACGCTAATTACTAGCCGTCGAGATCTTGCTAATCCTACTAAGATATATCTCGTTTATAGTACGAATAGTATTCTTCTTAGTATAGCTTAAGAAGGGAGTAACGAGTTAGCGAGGTATAAGTAAGTAGTTAATAGAACGTAAAAGAAGGCAAAGATAAAAGTAGATAGTAAGAAGAAAGTTTAGGTATATATCTTATAGAATCTCCTTTTCCGGCGACCTTCTAAGTATAGTACGGCCTACTTTAATTAATTTAAGTATAATCTACTCTAGTATAGAGAGCGTATAGAAAAGACATTATAAGAAGAAGAAGCATATTTCTACTACTACTTTAACTTAGATAGGGATATAAGAAGGGTAATCTATAATATAAATAACCGGAAATTATAACCTAGATAGACGATATCTTTATTTAGGATATTTATATAAGAGGTCTCGGCGTTATCGCGAGTAGAGGTCGTTATAGGTATAGTAAAATCTCCTAATAGCCGGACTAAGATTACTATAGGTAGTCGCGATAACTCTTAGCCGGAAGAGAAAGGAGTATACGAATAATAAAAGTCGGACTCTAGCGAATACTTAGGAGATCTATAACGTTCGAGAATACTACTTTTAGACCTAATAAATATCTATTTCTATAAGTTAATTAGGGGAATAGATAAGAATAAGGATCTCGTTATTAATAGGTCTATATTATATATAATACTAGAGAAGCCGATTATAGAAGCCGCGTTTTATATAGAGGCTACGTTTTGTATAAAGGCTACGTTTTTGCGGTACCCTTATCTTTTATAGAGGCCGCGTTTTACGCATAGGCTGCCTTTTTTTTGCGGCGGCCGCTTTTTTTGTAGAGGCCGCGTTTTTCGTAAATGCCGCGTTTTTTATAGAGGCTCTTCTTTGCGGCATCCGCGTTTTGCCTGAAGGCCGCTTTTGTTTCGCAGACGCGGCGTCTCACTAGTGTATCCGCAAGATGATTCAATGTTCCCACGGGTAGGGCAGGCCGCGTCTTGCGTAGAGGCCGCTTTTTTGCGGCTATAGAAGCTGTATTTTTGCAGCGGCCGTGTTTCTTGCCATTTCTCCTACGACGAGCTGTGCACGAACATTCGATCCGATGTTGAACCCGGCATACTTCGCTACACGTGAATGGTTGGGAAATGTAAGGTTCGTCCGGCATAGCAAGTCTGGTTGCTAGAATCAATCCCGACTTGAAGCATCGAGAGCAATCCGTGATTTGGATTTCGCAGATCTCGTGGAGTAGACTATTGATTTTATTTGCGTAGATTCACGTACATATAAACATACTCCTCCCTCATCGTGACTTCCATTCGGTGTGCAATCACCTTGCATTTACTGTTCGTTGGCCTTGTCGGAGGTCCTGTATCGCAGACCCTCGATTTGTGTGATTGTGCTTCTCTGTGCCTTTCTTGACTGCTTTGGCCTCGAAACTCACGTAATCCTGGAGCTGGTGAGTGTGCCAGGGCTCGTGTGGCTTCACAACATAGTTGCCCCAATTCTCGGGCCGCGGGAACATTCCATGAAACTGCCTATGCCGCGTATACGGGCTTTGCATCTACCTATACGCCGCATCTTACAAGTCATGGCAGTCACTCATCCACCAAACCACATGCAGCACCGTCTCATCTTCCATGTATCTCTCGATAGCTTTCTTGTGCATTTCTTGATGATTTCCGCTCGACTGAAACAAGACGGTGGTGATTTTGGCTGCCACCCTCCAGGGATGCTGTCCGTGGTGTGTTGCACCGGCTCGGAAATGTGAGTGTTTCAATCGCAAATTCCTCTCAGGCGATCAAATTTTGCGGCGTATATTGGTGTCAAGACAGGGAAGCCGGACTGGGCCTGCTGGGTGACACCTGGGAGACTGGAAAGAAGGAATTCTCCCGGCAGAAAGTTGCTTGCGTAGTTGAAATGTACCTGGGATGAGCGGCCTTTGTGGTAGGTGATTGACCGTTCGGGTAGAGTACGGAAAGTCACTCATTGGCGGGACGTGAGCGACAGGAGAGACATCGATGTTGAGTCGGTGCTTGCCTCTGCCGATCTATGACCCGTCGGCTCGAAGATATGGCGGCTGGTTTTCTTTCCCTTGCCAACATTCGAAGAGAAGCGGAGGAGATCAGGATGAGCACCTCAGTTGGGGCGATTGCCGAGGAGTGTGCGGCAACGCGAAGACAGCACGCCCGGACCAACAGAACTCAACTTTTCTCTGCACCTCGATTCCGGCTCGACAACATCTCCAATCCCTCGAACCTTATCCGAAGGCTTCGTTGCGTTCCCTCTCGAAGCCACAGGAACAAGACTACCCGTGCCTTTGCGCAAATGCCCCCTCAATCGACTCCGACCCGTCAGCGTCTACGCGAGGCGTGCTCCGTTCTATGCGAGTGATCTTGTCAAGCGAAGTTGCGCGAACATTCACAAGCATGCCGACCTCCACCGCACTATCGGCCAGCAATGATGAGCAGACAATGGAAGAGGTGGTAGAAGTTGTTGTGCGCTCACTCGGGATTTCCAAGAAGAGGAGGGGCTGTGATGTAACATGATGAGTTTACGAGGAAGAATTCCGGAATCTTGGATGGCTGCGAATGCCACGCAAACGAGTGCCACAGATGACTCAAACAATTCGGCGACGAGCACCGTGTTGCATTCAAAGGCGATTTCGACGGTTGCTGGGCCACAGATTTACGAGAAAGATTCCATCGGTACAACCTGCAAGCAGTGAAAATGGCACGTTCGGGAGGAGAGCCACGCGGGCGCTACACGGCCGCAGAGCTTCTGTGGGTGGACGCTTGAAGACTGACGCCTTGTGGGAAAAGGAATGACAATGGTACAAGTCATACGATAATTCTCGGTCGGGCGGCAACGACGTTCTCATTTTCCCATCAGACTCCGATCCGACAAACCGACTGTGTAATCGACGCTCTCTTCCTCATAACGATTCTCGCCTCCCATTCCACCCAGACCACAAATGCCCAGTGAGTGACTTGGACAGCAGATTCACCTCAGATAAGACCTGGATCGGATTCCGATGACACCCTCTTGCCTTCAGCAGCACCGCCGAGTAAGTCAGCTTCAGACTCCCAGCCTTGAATTCACATCACCTGAAACTCGAAAAAGCCTCGTCCACTTCTCTCAGCCTCGCAAAGGCATCTCCTTCTTCCCGGACGTGGCCAACTGCGAAGCATAGGCTGTTCCGACATCACTGTCTTCGGGTCAAATCTTGAAGTATTCGGTGGATAAGGAGCCACAATTACGATCTTCCTTATACAGCCACATCTGCATCCAGAGAAAGGACGTCGAGGAATTTGCTTCTACAGAAGTCAACCAGGCTATTGTTGTTCTTGATTCCCGACCCGAGACTCTCGATCACGTTCACATTCACGCGCATTGAAACGTAGATGCGACGAAGAGGATCTATTTCAGCACTTCCACCCCAATTCTACAGCTGATAGAGCCGCACGAGGCATGGTGCGAATATACCTTCGGTGACGATCGAGAGGGTGGTGGGCTGCAGCAGTCCACGCGTATGGTGTGTTGTGCCTGCGCTCGCACAAAGCTGCATCAAGGTCCTCGAGGAACCTGCTTTCTATCGTTCGAAGCCTGAAAGGGAGGTAACCTTTTTGGCGAGGGCGGGCTTGTCCAAGAAGCTAGTAGCGTTTTATTGCGGTGTCTGGTGTCGTGGACGATGCAGGAGAAGAAGAAAAGGGAGGGGAGAACAAGAAAATGAGGTTGCGATGGCGCAGGAGGTCAAGAAACGAATGCACGAGGCCCCACCCAGTCTTTCGGGCAGACACTTCTCCAGTAGGTTTGGTATACTTGCAATACAGGGGCTGTCAGTAAGCCAGGTCTTGCACCAGCCAAACAACTCGATCAAATGTCTCAGCGTTAGACAACTTCTTTCAATGCAAAATTAGTTTCAATCTCGATCGCCTCAAAGACTCACACTTATAGAGACTTGATTCCCGTTGATCCGGGGAGCGACATTCAGTAGACTTTTAGGCACTGTGAACCGAGAACTTTCGCCGCTTCGTGAGGTCTCTGTAGATCCGATTCGAGCCATGAGCAGTGCAGTCACTAGATGATTCCCTTGTCGAGCTCGCGCTGCTTGTCGTAAGGGTGATTCTGATCGCATTCCCTCCACTGACAAGAGCACAGACACTGACAATAGCACCGAGCATTTGTTCTACGGCAGCTTAGAATCTTGTTGATTACGTCCCCATTGCAGGTTTAAGCGATGTTCGCCCTTGTGTAGCCACACGCGTAGATTTCGGGTCTTTGGGGACGAGGGAATTGTGCGAGACACACTTCCTAAGCTCGAAGCAGGCCAGAAAAGCGATGAATTGGCTTCGAAATGGGGAGAAGCCTCGCGGTTGTTATAGCAAACACTGGCAACAAATACGTTGAAGGCCGGACTGGATGCGATCAATAACATCGCCAAGTTCGAGTTGACTTGCCTTGTTGTCTCAGCCTCCTCTTTCTTCATCGCGTTCGGGCGTCTAGAAGCAACGAGGAGGGAGTGGAAATTAGCGGCTGAATTGACAAGTCGCTACAATTGGGCGGAAGGTAGTAGGACCAGAGGGCTTAGAGCTTTCACTATAGTGTTGGGTCCTTCCATTACAGGATCTCATAAAGTCGATGTCGAGGTTGTGGTTGTAGAAGTATAAGCGAGGAGGCAGTTCCGGCATTGATTGGAAAAGCCCGCCAGCCGACCTGCCGACGCCCAACGCCGACCTGCCGAGTTGGACTCAGCAACTTCAGCCTCCATGGTGACACACAACCCTCACCGCCGCCGCCGCCGCCGCCGTCGCCCTTTCTCCTACAGCTTCCTCCATCTCCAAACATCATCTCGAAATCCTCCTCGCTAACCATCCCTACAAAGACGAGGAACTGTTTGTGCCCAAGTCGGCCGCGGCGGAGCTGCGCTGTTCTTGCTATTCTCACTACTACAACACCATCTCCAGCACAGCCATTACGCAACAGATCCAGGCCTACGTACATGCTCACCTTCCCCTAGATGGAACAGATGCAGTGCGAACACATCGAGTGCGCTGATTCCAGAAGTATCGCCCAAACGAAAGCACCAGACACCGGTATTCATCATGGCCAGACTTCAGAAGACAAAGATAGAAAGTGAGGACGAGATCAATGCCACGGCATGCAGACACTGTATGGGCGGCATGGGGAGGATATCAAGACCATCGTGACCTCAGATTTGCAGGAGAAGCTTCTCAAGCTGTTGACGCAGAAGCTACCGAGGATACGACAGGAAGTCCTGCTTCTATGTCCAATTTGAGATTTTTCATCGGTCCTGGCCTCAAGCATACCTCTTCTGTCATGAGTTCATGCGTTCTTCCGAGGGAGCCATCAACGAGATTGCTATAAACCTTGAGCGCCCATTTGTCGCCAGCCAATGACAACCCAATGTTCGGCGCAATAGCTGCATGGACCCGAAGCAGCATGATGAGTTCGTTCGGGTACATGCAGATGCGAAGCTTGCAAGCTCAGACTCCGAGCAAGGGCCCAGCTTCAAGGTAAGATGGCAGTTGTGATTGAACGGCTTTGTGCAGATGCGACAGCTTGCAAGCTTGCACTTGGAAATGCTTTCGGGCGGGCGTGTACAGAAGCCAAGCTGGACCGTATGAAGTGAGGCCTGCACTTCTGGAGGTGAGTCGAACTAACCGTCCGGCGATCGGACCGCCGACAATGCACTATGAAAACAGACTCCAGCATATTTTACAGGAGCTTCTTTCTGCACCCTACCATTCGCACACAGTCGTGATACTGCTCGTCATCCCATGATAGCGTCGGACACGGAAGCAATGTCACAGAACAGGAAGCGTTCTCGATCAGAGACCGCCTCCACCTTGTCATCTTCATCATCCCTGTCTTCAATCGATTCACTCGATGATATGAGCAGCAATGACAGCAGCAATGGCGGCAGCACCCAAGACAGTGCCGACAGCAACAAGCGTATCAGCAAGAGACCTCGCATCTACTCAGCCTCTCCATCAAGCTACCGCAGTCCTACGTTTACCGAAATGGTTGCCTTCGCCAATCGCCCCCGACGATTCGCTAAGCTTCCCATCGCAGACTCTTTCCAATCCGACTTCTCAGCCTATCCCCAAACTACAATCAATCATCTCGCAACTCTAGTAGCTTGGCAGAGCTGTGCAAAATCCCCGAAAAAGCACTTCGGCCTTGGCCGCCTACACCAAAACATCGATTGTTTCGTCTCCGATTTCGACATTGATAACGATGTAGTCGTTGTGGCTATGATGCTGCTCACCCGTCGCGGCACACCTACGTCAGATACTCGGCCTCTTGAATTGTTCCAAACGGCTGTCATCCTCGCGAAGAAAGTCTTGGACGACTCTGCTCCACGCACCAAGATCTGGGCTAAGCGACTCGGAATGGACAAAAAAGCTCTTACGGATCTCGAGTACCGATTCTGTTTTGAAATTGATTGGAGATTCGGAGTGGAGGAGGGAGAATGGGCGTCGTGGAATGTGGAAATTGGAAAGAAGATCGAATTTCCTTGGGACGACCAGGATGAGGATGGGAATGGAAGTGACTTGATGAGCAAGGTGGAGGCTTTCTGGGACATGGAGAGTAAGATGAGGATGGAGCTTCTCATGGTGACGCAGACAGGACTCGCAGCAGAGGTCATCGCAGGGCAGCTTGAGCTGTTGACGTGGGTGGAAGGTTTATTCTAACTGTGTTCTTCAGAAACCCTGGCTTGGGTTTCAGTCAAAGACAGCGAGTTCCGGGCTTCGTCTTGAAGCCACTACAATCTTCTGGAAATGGAAACGGCCCTTTGGACATGGAGTTGCATCAGGGTCAGGATCAATAATGGTATTGCTACGCAGACATATCACACACGTCTGAACTACCAGAGCGAGGAATGGTTTCATCTACCAGATAGAGTGATCGTCCCGGGAGACGAGCAAGGGAACTGAGCCAGGCGGAAGAATTGGACGCAAGTAGACCATCTGACAACAGGACTGCGGTTGTGAATGGACGCTGCTTGAATGCCTTCATGTCCACCGGCAACAGTGAACTCCATAGCAAGATGGTCCATAAATACACGCAAATACCAAAGAGAATAAACTCCCAGTGCAATCTCTCCATCACACTCTCGCGTCTTGAGTCCCCGGATTCCCAAAGATTGAAGAAAGGTGTGTGGAGTGTATGTGGGAAGAAATTGTGTAACACTTTCAGAAACGGCTCGGTAGTTACAAAAGCTGTACTCTGCACCTCGCAAGTTGCTGACCTTGTCTTGTGCGGCCGCCTGGTCACGTCTCCACTCAAAATCGGGAGAGGGTGCTGGGAAATGCGAGCTTGTGCAGGCAGCGCGGCGCCCAGTCATGACTGGAGTTGAATACGGACAGAATCAAGGCTTCCAGAACGCTTCTCCTTGATGTGGCATTGTTCGCCGGACTTGAGGCAGGACAACACTACTACCACCAGCAGTACCGTGTCAATCGGAAAGCGGTTGTCGCTGGGGAAAGCTTAAACTGGAGCCAGACGAGTACGACGACTCATGGAGTTGTACGGCATGAAGACGGGATTCCCATGCACATCGTACATGCTCAGTGGAACACGATTGCGGTAGACGGTTGCATCCTCGTCAGTGGGGGCTTGACCAATTGATTGAATGAATCGGCTTGGGAAGTATCAGCCCTAGCCTGAAGTGAGGTCTAACCATGATTGGGACACTTCGTGCACTCGCGATAGTGGTTGGAGAAGGCGCACTCCGGGTAGGTGTCATCGGACATGCCTGGAATGGTGAAGCAGCCATCGAAGTCCTAGTTGCCAGTCGCACGATACTTCGAGTAGCGATTGCCACCTTCATGCTCCCTCCACAAGAGGCAGAAAAGCTAGTCTGAGAACGATGTCTTGTGAGACGTGAAAGTCTAAAGAGAACGAGGTGCGTGCCATAACCTCCGACATTCTCGCCCAAGTGTTGTGTGTAACGATACGCATACTTGATCGTGGAAGAACATGTCACCCACGTGAAACTACCCGCGCAGAAACACGTCTTGTCAAGCAGGTATTTGATCCACAGAGAAGGCTTTGGTTATGTCCTTGTACTACCTACCAGACCCGAGCTCCTCTTCCTTCCACTCAACCGTTTCTACTAGCACATTGAGCTCAATCCGAATCCATCGTGACGAGACTACTTGTATCGTCCTGCTTAGTCTTAAGAGAGTGATGAATCGTATCGTCGGAGAGAGGCGGCGAGGATTTCGGTCTATTCTACGCCAATCGGTAGGTAGGCTTTATATTAGTCTGAGCTCGTCTTAGATGCAATGTCGATAACCGGACTCTTATTAAAGTAGTAGGGGTGAATTGCTTACAGAAGTGTAAAGTAGAGTTACCCTAACTCTATTCAATTTCACTTCGTTAAGGTTAAGCTACTATGTACGATAATTAGCCTTTAGAACTAAGCAATTTAGTAGGAAGATTCTTCCCCTAAGCTAATCTATAATACGTGCGACTATAGGTAGGGAATTAGTATCGATTTACCGAGGAAAATAATACTTCGTAGATAGTAAAGTCTAGAATTTACCTACCTATATAAGCTTTTAGAAAGAAATGTTTGTAATACGTTGCTATGTCTTAATTAGCTTTAGAGGCTATTATGCTACTCCTACTAGTGCTAATACTTATAAGATTAGATATAGAGGATACGAGTATACTATAAAAGAGTAGTATTACGTAAAGATATAAAATCTATCTAAACGGGCATTGTTTTAATCTACGATAGTCGCTATAGTATTTGGATTTAATATTACAGTTTCTTATAGCTATACCGACTAAGAGCTTTCTATATACTCGGACTTTCCCTAGTATCTTAAATCCGTCGTACTATAATACCCTTACTACGCTCCTATCCTATAGGATACTAACACTTACTAGGACGCAATGCTTTTATTATAGATAGGCGGTAAACTAATAGAATTGCTTGCTATCTAAAGAAAGGACTTAATAGCTACTTATATATACTAGCGCTAAGAATTATAAGCAATTACTTAAGCCGTAAGTAAATAATCCCGAAGATTCCTTTTCTTTCTCTTACTTATTAATCTAACTAGCCTCGTATATTCTCGAGTAATTTAATACTCCCTCTACTTAGCTATCTAGCCGTAAACTAAATAGCTAAGTCCTAATCCTTCGTAATCGTTTTTATCCCTAGGTCTCTTTTTACGTTTTCTTCTAACTTCCCTTTCGTTAGGGGTTTAGTAAGGAGGTCCGCTAGTTAGTCTTTAGTCGGAATATACTTTATATTAACTTGTTTATCCTCGACTAGTTCCCGTACGTAGTATACTACTACGTCGATATATTTCGTTCTAGAATAAAATTCCGGATCTCGTACTAAAGCGATAGCCGCCTTATTATCCCTATAGACAATTATAGGTTCTTTATAGTAGTCTTCCGTAAGGTATTTAAATTACTCGAAGAAATTACGGATCTAAATAGCTTCTTTTATAGCGTAGGATAGCGCTAAGTATTCGGCTTCTATAGTACTAGTCGTTACGGACCTTTATAGTTTAGTAGACTAAGATATAGGACCGCCGGCTAATAGGGATATATATCCTACCGTTAACTTCCTAGTCGAGTCGGCCGCGTAGTCCGAATTAGTATATATAACCGGTAGACGAGTAACTAAAGTACTCGTATCGTTTTCGTTCTTAGAGATAGGACTATACTTTATATAGTAGTCCCGAGTGTTTCCTAGGTATCTAAGGCCGTAGATACCTCCGTTATAATATCTCCTAGCCGGATTTACCGAGGATTAGCTTAGTCGTTACGTTAGAAAAGACATATCCGGCCTAGTAGCTCGTACGGTATAATTTAGTTTCCCGGTTAGTAGTTATTATTTCCGGATATCTACTACCTCCTCGTCCTTTATAATAGATAGTAGATTCGCGTATCCGTTTGCCGGAGTCGATACTCGGAAGGTTCCGTCTAGATCTAAGCCCCCTTCTCTAAGCGTATCTTTAATATAGTACCTTTAATCTAGTAGTATAGACCCGTCGGCTTCTCTCTTAATTCGTACGCCTAGTATAAATTTAGCGGGACCTATATCCTTTATTTTAAACCTCTTTATAAGCCCGTTGATTAGCGATTCAACCTCCGCTTCTATCTTCGCTAGTATAGTAAAATCGTTGATATATAAGGTAACTATTACCGTATAGTCGCTATTAACGAGGACCGATTAATCCGCGGAGGTTATATTCTTCTATTATAGGGTAGTAACGCGTACGTAGACACTAGATATAAAACTTAATAGGTTCGATAAGGAGCTAAGTCTATCTACGTTAATTCGAATAGTTTTATACGGTATACTAAGCGCTAAGTAGTAGGTTAGTATCGTATAGGCCGAACGCCTAAGGCTAGTATCGTTTCCCTAGGGCGTAGCTCTCTGTATTGCCTCCGTCCTCCCCTAGTTCTATTATAGGGATAGAACCTCTATTATAGTCCCTAGCGGTATTACTTTAGTAGGGTCCGAGAGTATTCAATT